GAATACTCAAATCCAGAAAAGACCAACACCTCAACTGGGGACAGGCAGCCGTAGTGCCTGCAAGGGACTGATAGCACTTGGAATGTGCAGTGGTGAGGCATTGGACAGAGGCAGGCACCATTACTATTAAGCAAAGTGATACGGCTACCTCAGTTGGCAAAATCCTGAGTGTCATGGGGTGCATCCACACTGTAGAATTGATGGAGTTTGACACTACTTTAACTGCCATGACTCAGTGCTATGAAACCATGGGAGCTATTATTTGATAAAGTGCCAGCATTATTGGGCAGAGGGCTAAAAAGTATAGCCCCTTTTGATTCCACAGGACTGAACCACAGTAGCTAAAGTGGTGTCAAACTGCATTAACGGCACATTATAGATTCATCCAGGGTGCAGGGCATATTATTAGGAGCCTCACAAAGAGACTGGATGAATCTACACTGTAGAATGATTGCAGTTTGACACTACTTGACTGCCATGGCTCAATGCCATGGAACCATGTAATTTGGTGATGCACCAGCACTCTTAGGCTGGGCAGAGAAGACTAAAGACCTTGTAAAACTACAGGTCCCAGGATTCCATAGCCTGAGCCATGGCAGTTTAAGTGGTGTTCAACCGCATTGATTTGATAGTGTAGATGCAGTGCAGACTGCCCTGAGGAAGACCCCCTTCGAGATGAGCAAGAGCAAGTGGTGGCAGCTCCTGCCCAATTTGTTCAAGTAGATCAACACCAAAATGTGAAAAAGGACTGCTGAGACTGAGCACAGTTTTAGATTGGGGGATTTATCATACACTCCTGCCATGTTAATTGAATTTTACATGGAATGTCAAAAAACATTGCTCTATGTTTTTCCACCGCTTCTTTTGTCTTGATCTTCTTTTTCACTCAAAATCTTAAATGAAAAAGCAGCTCTAAGTGTGTTGAAGTTGCTTCTGGAAAGACTCTCAGAAATGGAGGGGAGAAGTGAAAAAAATGGTAGCAACAGCTGTTTCCTCTCTCTCTTGTTCCCTGGTCAGCACAGCCAGAATAAAGGAGAGTTCCTTGGGGAGGTGGGAGGCATAAACCCTAACAGCTTCACAAAGGAGCCATTCGCAAAAGAGTCTCCCTGCTGCACAAAAGGCAAACACTGCCTGGTATTTGCCCAGCTGTGCACCCTGAGACAGCCCTTGGGAGAAGAAATGGTTTTCATGATAGACCAAAGTCCTCCATAATGGAACACTGGGATGGGAAGGAGTCCGAGGCGGAATGAGAAAAATGCCAGGCAGCAAATCCTCCAGAGCAAGGAAGTTTTTATTTAAAGCAACAGCAAAACAACAACAAAAATCCAGGCAGTTTCTAGAACAAACAAGAGCAAGCTTAGGTAAAGTATGGCTTAGGTAAAGCATGGCTTCAAGAACTATTAAATCTGCCAGAGTGAAACTGAATCATAGCTTTCAGGACTCTGAAGTCTATTTGGCTGAACGAGTGACCTGTAAAGTCTGCAAAAGGGCAGTGCCTTAAAATACTGAGAGAACGAAGTTAGTAACAGCACAGGCTGGGGGCAGAATTAATGCAGTTTGACTCCACCTTATCTGCCATGGTTCAATGCTATGGAATTGTGGGAAGTGTAGTTTTACAAGGCCTTTAAGTCTTCTCAGCCAAAAGGTACTATGCCTCACCAAAGTTCAAATCCCATCATAACTGGCAGTTAACATGGTATTGTCCTGCCTCCAGAACAAGAATCTATAATTTGTTGCCAGTGCCTTTAAGGATATGGGAGGGGGAAGGAGCTCGAGCTTCCACTCAAGAATTGCAGTTATTTTACAGTTAGGCAGATCAGTTGGAGTTTAGGTGTGGAAGGAAACAGAGGGATGGAAAGTGCACAGGAATTCATATCCAGTCAGAGATACATAGTCCAGTCAGAGATACAAAGATAGTCATGTTGGAGTTAAATAGTTATATAGGTAGCAAAAGATATAGATAGTGGCATTATAGTTTATAGATAGTAAAGTAGTAGTAGTCACATCTAATATCTGTATAGTAAAACAACAGCACTCACATTTTAAGAACAGGGCTGCAGAAGCTTATGAGATTTCCTTTTCACAAAGACTTTTCAGTGGCAACTAAGGAAAGGAAATTTAGTTTGTTTCAATAAAACGTTGTTTTAATTTACATATAGCCTCCAATCTGTTTTTGTGTTATAATTCCTTCCAATCCAAACTCATGGCAACACAGAGGCAGAACAGGTATCAATCTACATTAATTCTACAGTATGGATGCACCCTAAGGGCACATCTGCAGTAACTATTTCATGCAGTTTTAAACCGGTATTAAAGACAGTGGCTTCACTGTGCAGATGATTACATGGCAAGTCCTGGAACCAGTTTTGAGATCCAAATGTTGATAGCATAAACTAGAGCAGATGCACAGTGAAGCCTCTTTCAAAAAGTGTGTGGGAGTTTATTGTTTGGCCATCACAATTTGGTCAGTGTAGATGGGGCCTATGTCTAGAATATAGTACAGTGCACAGGTGTATTTTGTTCTTATGGATCCCACCTCAGGATGCATTTACACTGTACAATTAATACCATTGCAATATCACTTAAACTGCCATGGCTCAATGCTATGCAGTACTGAGACGAGACACCAGCACTCTTTGGCAAAGAAGACTAAATAGGTTGTAATATTACAGATCTCAGTGTTCCATAACATCGAGCAGTTAAAGTGATATGGCATGGGATATAAAGTTGACTTGACTAAGGGCCCTTCCACAAAGCCATATAACCCAGAATATCAAGGCAGAATAATCCACAATACCTGCTTTGAACTGGGGCCCTTCCACACAGCTAAATAAAATCCCACATGTGGTGGGCCTGTACAAAAACACAAAATTATTTGAAAATGGTACACAAAGAATGTCAAAGAATTTTAAAAAGGAAATTCCCGATGAAACCCGAATATTATTTATTAGGCATGTGGGACAAAGTCCTTTTTGCAGACTTGAATACAGAAAAACTATTCACTTACTTCGCAACTGCGGCTAGAATGGTCTTTGCAAAAGAATGGAAACCAGAAAGAGGAAAATATTGGACATTAATAACATGGACAGATGAACTTTCTTGCTCAAGAAAAACAACGGCAGAGGCGCAACACAGACAGACTGGACTATGGTTGAAGAATACATTGAGAGAAACCATGGTTAATAATGACTTAATAACTCAACTTACCAAGAGGGAAAAGACAATTTTACTAGCTAACAAGAAACTATAAAAAAAAAAACGATGTGAGGAAGATGAACGTAAGTCTAGAATAGCCATGTTTACTTTATTTCCTACTTTTCTCAAATCATGTCCCAAATGCACTATACTAGAGATTGAAGATTATTTGCATACCGCACCTATCTCCAAAAACCTATCCATTTCACTTGGTCATGTCCAGCATTTTTTTAAAAATTTAATCATTACATTTGGCCCGGCCTTAGATTTTAACTGCGTCGTGGTGTTATTGTTTAATGTTTATTGTTATTGTTTAATGTTTATTGCTTTGTTTTATGAGTTTATTTATTGTTGTATTTGTTATGCTACTGTTTTACTGTTGTATCTGTCCTCAGCTGCTTGTAAGCCGCACTGAGTCCTTCGGGAGATGTTAGCGGGGTATAAATAAAGGTTTATTATTATTATTATTATTATTATTATTATTATTGTTCTCCTACTTTCCTTGTATACCGACCCTCATATATATATATATATATATATATATATATATCCTCTTTTCTCTTTCTAAATTTTATTAATTTAGATGGAGGCGGGGTGTGTGTGTGTGTGTGAGGATGTACCCTAGTACACCTTTTGTATCGTTATCCCAATACCCCCTGCATACGGGATATATTGAGCATGGTGATCAGATCATGATATGAATAAACATAACAGTTTAAATAATGTACCAGTAAGGCCTTCTCGCAGACCACCCTGAGAATTTCAGGGGGGGGGGGGCTGAAGCCCCTCAAGCTCCCCCCCCCCCGCTACATGCTGATTTATTTATTTATCATGTCAGGGGCAGACCAAACAGTTGCATTGCATTTTTTAACAAAACAAACAAACAAAACACAAAGTTTGCAAGCTTGGTAGTTGATTAAATGTCCTTTGACCAGTATGTGGCCACTTGGAGTGCCTCTGGTGTTGCTGCAAGAAGGTCCTCCATTGTGCATGTAGCAGGGCTCAGGTTGCATTGCAGCAGGTGGTTAGTGGTTTGCTCTTCTCCACACTTGCATGTCGTGGATTCCACTTTGTAGCCCCATTTCTTAAGTGCCAGAGCACAGTCTGTGCGCAGTCTGTTCAGCGCCTTCCAAGTCGCCCAGTTTTCTGTGTGCCCAGAGGGGAGTCTCTCATTTGGTATCAGCCATGGATTGAGGTTCTGGGTTTGAGCCTGCCACTTTTGGACTCTCGCTTGCTGAGGTGTTCCAGCGAGTGTCTCTGTAGATCTTAGAAAACTATTTCTTGATTTAAGTCGTTGACATGCTGGCTGATACCCAAACAGGGGGTGAGCTGGAGATGCCTGCCTGTGAATAACCTTTGCACAATGATGGTGAGTAATTTCAGGGCCTTGTTGAGAGGAGACACGGACCTCAAAAGTCATCTCAGGCGGGAAAAAACGTTTCAATCGGTTTGCTATGAGTTTTCCGGGCTATATAACCATGTTTCAACTCCTCCCTATTATTATTATTATTATTATTATTATTATTATTATTATTATTATTATTTTCTGGCCATGGGCCTGCTTATCGCAACAGTACGTTAAGAATGGCCGCAACCTCCTCAGGCCTCTATATCTCAATGGCAGAAAAGAGAAGACAGCACGAGGGGAGGGGCGGTGCGAGGCAAGCTATCCCATAATAACCCGGAACTGACGGAGCTCAGCCTCCCGCCCTCTCTCCTCGAGCGGCGCTGACTAGCTCGCTCTCGCGCGCTCCGAAAACCCCGCCCCCGCCTGGCGACCCCCGGCGCCGCCGCTCATTGGTCGCCTTCCCTCCCGCGTGACCCTCCCGGACGGCCCCGCCCACCCTCTTCCTCTCGACTCCATATTGAGGCTTGAAGGAGGCAAAAAAAATTCCTGTCACAAAATGGAGGTAACGATGGTCAGCGTCGCGCGGGAAAAGAGGCCGTTACGGCGTCGGTCGCGGGAGGAAGAGGAGAAGGGGAGGGGGACGAGGCTCGCAAGAGGGAAGGAGGAGGGGAGGGGTGATTGGCCGGTGCGGTGCCTCGCGCTCTCCTCGCGCTCCGTTTCCCTGAAATGGCGCCGCGGCGGCGGTTGTAACAGCAGGGCGGGAGAGGCCTGGTCTTTTCCGGGCGCCATTGTGGGCCTGCGTGGAGAAAGCGGGAGAAGAGGCTGAGCCTGAGTGAGAGCAGCAGCACGACGAGGCGCGTCATTTTGCGCGGTCTTCCTTCTTTCCTTCCTCAGAGTGTGACAGGGCTTCCCGCTCATGAAGAGGTTGAAATAGCACACCCCCCCCCCCCAAGCTCAGTCAAATTTCGAAGCATGGGTTGTGCCGGTCCTGTTTTCATGAACCTTTTGTCTCTGAACCCCGCTTTTTCTCCCATTTTTGTGCCTTGTTCAGGAAGTGCATCAAATGTGACGTGTAATATTATTATTCACTACCCCTCCCAAGGCTAGATACAAAACTGGGCACAACTTTAGAAAGCATATACATTTTAAAACATACAGAAATAGATATTCAAGTGGGGCATTTATTATTTATAGCCCGCTTTTTCTCTTTTGAAAAGAGACTCAAAGTTACAATATAATGGTAAAATGTACATTTAAAGAAACCAAAATTACACTAAAGCACAATTATATCTAGAACTATCTGAAAATGAATAGTTGAAAGTATTAAAACCTAGTCAATATACACACAGACATACATATAGGACATTCCTCTATCGTTTTAAACCAGGGGTCCTCAAACTTTTTAAACAGAGGGCCAGGTCACAGTCCCTCAAACTGTTGGAGGGCCGGATAATAATGTGAAAAAAGCATGAATGAATTCCTATGCACACTGCACATATCTTATTTGTATTGCAAAAAAACCACTTTAAAACAATACAATAATTAAAATGAAGAACAATTTCAACAAATGTAAAATTATTAGTATTTCAATGGGAAGTGTGGGACTACTTTTGGGTGATGAGATAGGATTATTGTTGTTGTGTGCTTTCAAGTAATTTCAGACTTAGGTTGACCCTGAGCGAAGGCCAGGTAAATGAGCTTGGAGGGCCGCATCCGGCCCCCGGGCCTTAGTTTGAGGATCCCTGTTTTAGACATTCTGGGGCCCCTTCCACAAAGCTGAATAAAATCCCACGTTATCTGCTTTGAACTCGAAATATATGGCAGTGTGAACTGAGGGCCCTTCCAGACAGGCCCCATATCCCAGGATCTGGTCCCAGGTTTTCTAATCTCAGATTATCTGGCAGTTCACATTCATATAATCCAGTTTGAAGCAGAAAACCTAGGATCAAATTCTGGGATATAGGGCCTATCTGGAAGGGCCCATAGGCCCCTTCCACACAGCTGAATAAAATCCCACATCTGCTTTGAACCGGAATGTATGGCAGTGTGGACTCAGATAACCCAGATATTGTGGGATTTTTGCCTTGATATTCTGGGTTATATGGCAGTGTGAAAGGGCCCTGGCTTTCCTTTGCAGAGAGTTCCAAACACAACTACTGCTTCTCTAAAGGACCCATGGGCAGGAATGATTAAATAGGTCCTTATAAGAGAAGCAGCTAACTAACTACCTTACCTTTGGAAATTGTAAGTTATCTAATCATAGCTTCATAGTGGTAGTCTCTGCACACATATCCCTTTTGTATCTTTATGAAGGTAAAATTATTAGTATGTGATTGTAATAGATATAATTCTCTAAAGCTGAAATTTCCATAATTACTCGAATCTAATGTTCATCTTTTACTTTTTTACTAAATTACCTTCCCAAAATTAGTGTGTGCATTAGATTTGTGTAATATGGTAAATACCCTTTTGGGTTTTGGGGTTTTGAAAATTGAGGTGCACATTAGATTGGATGGCACATAGACTTGAATAAATACAGGCTAACAATGTTCTTGAGGAATTGATTTCACTTTTGGTGTTGGAACATTTCCCTGTAAAGCTTGAGGTGAAAATGAATGGATTCTCCCCCCTCCTATGTGTCTTTAAACAGACATTCTCTTTAACAATTCCAATGTTTATGTTTTAACTTTATGAAAGTAAAATGGTTAGCCCACAACAGGAAAAGGCACTATCTGAGAGCTAAAACAGACTACTTCCCTCCCATACAGTGCTCTTGAGGAATTTGATTTTTTTCACTTTTTCCTTTAAAACGTGAGGTGAAATATTTCCTCTTTTAAAATTCCAATTTTGATTTCTTTCTTCCTGCCACTAAACTAGAAATGGAGGCTCCCTTTACACTGCCATAGAAGATCCAATTTATCCGCTTTGAACTGGATTATATGGCAGTGTAGGCTCATTTTCATAATACACTGTCGTCTGGATTATATGGCAGCGTAGATCCAGCCTGAGGTTGTTCCATGTAAAGATCTTACATAATAATAATTTGCCAAACTGATCTTTCTTTGGAGTGATTTAAAATTCCTGAAATCTGAGTTTGTAGTGTAATTAATGGATACAGTTCTGTTGACTAATGAGAGTTGTTCACCAACTAGGGTGCTTATAGGCTTATCCAGTACACACTGAATTAGTACATTTGGATACAGTTCAGAATTACTTGAGAATTAAGTCTCGCGAGACTGTTGTCATTAAATCTTATCCTAAATTAATTATAGGACACAGAAATTAAAAGACTTAAAATGCTTTTAGAATTGGGTTTTCATTATTGGCTTGAGACTTAAAATTAACATGTAGCCTGAATTTATGACTGCAGTAATCATTTTTCCTCCTCTTCAGGTCAGTGATACATTATTTTTTCTATAGAAGAAGGGCTGGTTTTTCAAAAAAGTACTTTACTTGGAGCATCTGGAAATAATTATTGATCAAAGTTTCTATACAATGTATCTGAAAGATTACACAATGGACCATGTCATGCAAGCACTAACTGTAGTGAACACATTAGTCCTATAGACTTTTACCTAAGAGTAAATCCACAAAACCTAATTAGGTCTCCTTCAAAGTAGATATTCTTACTATATTTATGTTCCATTTCCCCCACAAGAGTGGGACTCGCAGTGGCTCACTACTTTAAAAAACAATACAATTAAAAGGTTCATAGGATTGTGTTACAGGTACTTTAATGAAACACTTTTTTCTGATGAATAACTTTAATTGCCAGCCTTGGAGTTTAGACATATTATCATAATACTAAGCTTCAGAAGTACTTAAAAATATAACATTTGCATCTGAAAACTAGAAATTCATTAAAAATTCTAAGCTTAATTTCAGACAATAAATAATCTAGCATAACAGATATCTGTAGGAGTGAAAACTTTGTATTATGCCTCTGGCAATAAATGTGTACAGTTACTCATCCTAAGATTCTAGTGAAGCTTTTATTGCTGAAACCAGTTGTGTGGGCTCTGTTGTATCTTGGTTTTTTTGCACTCTTTCAATGCTTGCATTATCTGTATCTTTGCTTATCTGAGCTGGGCATTACAGACCTGTGTCAACAAGTGACTCATCTTGTGTCTTGTAGTTGTAAAAAATAGAGGGCTAGAATTTCTGTTTGAATAGACATTTACTATTTCTATGCACAAAAATTGGAGTTCACTGTACTAATTAGTATAGATGTCTTAAGATGTATGTGTAGCTGTGATTCAGCCTTAAAGAAGGTAGAAGCAAAATCTGGAAATTCTACCCTGCTTAATTTTAAGAAACTATTTGTTAACAGTATGAAAGCAGAACTAATCTGTGTGGAGGTCAGTGGCACAAATTTTTTTCCAGCATACAGTTGAATTGTAGAATTGGATTTAGAAAGGGAAGTGAGAGGTTATTTAAGTAAACTGAACTTTAATGCTTTTTTTTGCTGGAAATCTATAGAGATAACTATGGACTACTTTTAGGGCTGTCATAGCAATTATCTGGTCACACTTCCCTATCAGAAATAGAAGTACAAGAGTAATCCATATTGTGGATTTGGATGCTGCTGCTTCTGTGTAGCTGCTATATGAGAGCATGCCCAATGCTACCAACATTCTGTGATGCACAAACTGCGTATCACATGACATAGTTTATTTATTTACAGCTTTTAGTTGTTATAAATCAGTCAACCTGATTTTGTCCTACCTCACTCTGACCCATAGTTCCCTCCAAGCTGAAATATGAGGATAATGAATAGATTTCAGTATATTTTGGAAGTGCTATTTAAAAAAAAAAGTTGAAAAATCATTATGGTGTTTTGCACCAAGTCAACCTGTTAGAAAAAGCAAATTTTCCTCTTTTGTACTCTTTATCACTGGTGTGTCTAAACCAGTGTTTTCCCATGGAATTGTTTGGGAAGAATAGATAATATTTGAGAATGGCTTCCCAGTGGGAATGAATATGTCTTACTGATCATGCTGTAGTTCTTACTGTTGCTGCAACAGCAGACATTCAGCTTCCAGAAAGCTGTTGGGCCTAAAGTCCTAGATGTCTCAGGAGTCCTAGATGTCTTGGAAAAAACAAGCATCCTGTACAGATCAATGGTCTAAGTTTGAAGAAAAGGGGTGCACTTAGGAGTTACTCAAGCATAGGCGTGTTCCCTTGGCATTCATTGTTGGGGAAGGGAGGGCAACCTAAGATAGGGAACAACAGCTTCACCTCCTCTGGAGTATGAGGCATTGATATTTTAGTCAAGAGAATTTCATTCTCCAGAGAGTTGAGTACAGGGAGAAGGAAGGGAAAGAAGAGCCCCGTGCCTTCCTTTTTTAGCCTACACAATTGATCAGAATACTGAAATAACCTAGGCTGGAGTGCAGAAAACACTTTAACCAGATAAGCATAATTTTCACATTTCAGGAAAAGTTAACTCCAGCAGTTCAGTTTGCAATGCTTAATAGCAAATAATGATGAATGTACTTGTTCCTGTTGCAGGGATACTATGATATTTTCACACAGTAACCAAATAAATAGCATTACTAGACTAAATCTGGCTGACCTATTAAGATGATGCCTTAGTTATTATTTGTGGTTAAATCCATTAACTTTATCAGAGTAAATGGCTTGAGACAAAGGCACACATGTATTTTGATCTATGTTCTCATATAGATCCATCCATTAAACTTAAAAGTGGCTCCCCAATATTTGCTCCACTAAAAATTAAAGTTTTTTTTCATTTTTATGAGATTTTTTTAAAAAAGCATATAGAAATGGGTAAGTTACTAGTACTACTTGTTACCTAGGTTAAGAGGAGCAACTGAGTCAGAACATCCTCTCAAAATGGCGTGTAAAGAGGAGAGAGAGGTTGAAGATTACAAGAGGAGGGGAAGAAGATCTTCACAGGTGGAATGCTTTATTTTTATGTTCCTTTTCATGGCTAAACAGAACTTTTGCTTGCTTGCTGCTTTGGTTTTTCCATCTGTAGCTCAAATCTTATATTGTACTACTCTCTTCTGCTTGCCTCTTAAGGGTATATTTTGTTTTTCATTCCCCGCACTGGTTTGAGATAGTTATTGTAAGCTCATAAGTTGCAGTTTTGTGTATCAAAATACTAATTTCAGGCTAAATTTTGAAAGCACGTATTTTACTAAATGTTAACTAACTGAATGTAAAGGTTATTAAATTCTAAAAAGATACAGTTTAATGAAGAAGAACCAGGTGAACTCTGTTTAATTGGGGGGGGGGGTAGAATAAATTTGTTGAGGTCCTTGCTGTGTTCCTAGTTACCTTGGATCCATTTCTCACCAAGGTAATAATTTTGTGGTGTACTACTTCAGACTGCAGAAGTGACTATGTATGTGTAATTCAATACTCTTATGCAAAGAAATGCCAGACAGAAAACTAACTTATCAGAGATAAATATTCAGTATGCTGAAATGTGGATCATTATACCATTGAAACTTCCAGTTACAGGCTAAAATAGTATAGTTCACATGACAATTTTACCACTTCTTTGGGAATAGAACCAAATACCATTTGTTAATGGGCTGACAGTTTTACTTGCTCACTTTTCTAAGCCAATTGACTGGTGTAATACTTTAGAGATGTTTTGCAACAAAACTGTTTTTGACACTGCAGTCATTTGATGCCATGTTAACTATGATTTTAAGAAATTATTGATACCAAGGAAGTGATATATAGTAAAAGAAAAGGCAGAACTATACTCGGCATTTAAACATGAAAGTGAAAACACTAGGAATAACAAAAGTGTCATTTACTTAAGTGACAGATTTCTAAATCCAAAACATGTAAAAACTGCTGCCCTACATGTTTCAGTGGATCCCTGCCGGCGTATTTCTCATTATTCCCATGCCAGGCACAATATCCTTTGTAAATTTTAGCCTCAAAAATGTGTTGGTTGATGATCTGTTTTGTAGAATAAAATTTTATAGACTAGATAAAAATTATATGTAATTGAGATGAGGCATATCTTTGTGGCAGAATTACATATCAGATAGCCACAGGAAAATACTGTATTTTTCAATTGTAATCTTTCATGGATTGTAAGATGCACCCTAATTTCAGTACCACCACCACCAACAACAAATATACATAAGATACACCTGCAGTTCTAAGACACATAACATTTTTAGAGATGTTTATATAAGAAAAAGTGCTTCTTAGAATAGAGGGAAGGGGAGGAAGAACAAGACAGTGAATTGGACATGTTTTCATTGACCATCTGCTCCCAGATTGGCCTAATCTTGTGAAGGCACATCAGAGAACATGGTTATCCTGTAATTTCAATAGAATCAATTGAACACAACTGACATATTTAACTGATATTTCAGTGCCACCTAAACATGGTGATCCACATATCTTTCAGTACGGCTCAGCTTTGTTTTCTCCATTGGCATCTAATTTCCATTATCCAGGTGTTAAGGCCTTAGTTTTCCAAAATAGACACTGAAGTCCATGATGAGATTCAATAATGTTTCAAAGAAATAGTGGTATGGAGTAGGCTATTCTTGTACAACTCTGTGGGCTAGGTACGTATTTCTCCCTTGATCATTAAATGTTAAATCTCATGGGATATAAGATTATCACGGGTTTCTCTGGAAATGTACAGCTATTGCTGAAATGACTGGATCCTTTCTTTGTGACTTGCGGAATCTAGTGTAGAGGTTCAGACGTTACAGTCTCATGCCACAGAGGCGGGAGAAATCATGATATTCAGTACAAATTCTACAAGGATTGCAAATTATTGTGGATTTTTTTTTAAAAAAGAAAGCATTGGATACTAAGAGTCATGCAATATTTGACCTGCTTCAGAGGTAGAGCTTCTAAACTTGATCTGTGAAGTATAGGTTGACCCCTGAAAAAGAGAATGGTAATATTTTACATTTTTCCATCCATGGGAATTGCATCACCTCTGCTTGTAGGCTTTAAAATAAGACACATACTCTTGTGCTTATTATGAAACATACACTTTCTACATACAATCGAATGTACCTTAGTGATTTTATAAGACATGTCTCTCAGTATTTCTGTAGCCTTAATATGAATAAGTGAGTGATCCAGACAAGATTCCCTAACTGTGGTAGTATTCTTAGTGTATAAAATATAGAAAACTTCCCTGACTTCAGAATGGTGTATTAGAATATTACCCATGTATTGCATTATACCCTGCATTTTCTCATAAATAGTTTTCAGGTCCTCAGCTTTTTTCTGAGCTATGAGCAAATGCAGTAGATGTTATCAAGAAGACTGAAGCATTATTTTTGTGTTTTACCCAGATTAATTCTGGTCTTCATAAAGTTAGGTAATTCTAGGTTGTCCAGAAGTCAAACATGTCATTCTTCATGCAAATAAGCAAAGAACAATTTGAGACATAAGGCTACTTGAGTTAAGAGTACTCATTTTGAAACCAAGAATAAATCAATTTAAATTAGTACTGGTGTCTTCACATTATTTTGTTTTCATCCCTCAGCAGTAAATTATCCATGTATAGCCACATAGTGAGACTTTTTTTCTTTCAGGGTCACGATCCCAAGGAACCAGAACAATTAAGAAAGCTGTTTATTGGTGGCTTGAGTTTTGAAACTACAGATGATAGCTTAAGAGAACACTTTGAAAAATGGGGGACACTCACAGACTGTGTGGTAAGTGATTCTATCACCATTCAGTTTACACATGAAATTTCATGTACACTTGACCTCAGGTCACACTTTTCACTGTGACTTAGTTCCAGATACCTTACATAATACTGAAGCAAACATTTTTTGAAAATCAATCCCTGAAATTGTGTTATCCGCATTCTACATTTCTTAAAGGTAATGAGAGACCCACAGACAAAACGTTCCCGTGGCTTTGGCTTTGTGACCTACTCTTGTGTTGAAGAGGTAGATGCTGCAATGGCAGCTCGGCCACACAAGGTTGATGGCCGTGTGGTGGAACCAAAGAGAGCAGTTTCTAGAGAAGTAAGTAATTATTCTGGATACCAAATGTATCAATCCTTGATTTTATTTTACAGTATAAACACCATTGTTTATGCATCTAAATGTGTTTTAAACATTTTAGTATTTTGGAAGACTAAATGTAAATTGAAATTTTTATAGGATTCTGTGAAACCTGGTGCCCATTTAACAGTGAAGAAAATATTTGTTGGAGGAATTAAAGAAGACACCGAAGAATATAATTTAAGAGATTATTTTGAAAAATATGGCAAAATTGAAACTATAGAAGTAATGGAAGATAGACAGAGTGGAAAGAAAAGAGGTTTTGCCTTTGTAACATTTGATGATCATGATACAGTTGACAAAATTGTTGGTATGTATACTTATCATTGTTCCCTCTATTCTGCTTTGGGTTATTTGCCTGTCTGTTACCGCTCTGCATTTTTAAAACCTAGGCTGTCTGTACATGCTATGTCCCCTTGCAAAAACTAGTTGCTTCCTCCTTGCACTTATCCTCCCATATATTTTGTTCCCTGCTGTCAGTCTAAATTTCCTGCCGCTTTGGCTGAATGAACTTTCTCAACAAGTGCAAACTCTTTAAACCTGGCATCTAAGGCAGTTTAAGGAACGCAAAGTTCACTAACTCCAAACCAAGTGTATTCTTGAATTCCAGCAGGGGAATTAAAATGATTATAGGGAATCGTTTGTGGAGACATCAACTTCAGTGCCAGTTGGAAACAGCACAGAGGAGAAATAGCTGCACCCCCTGTTGTAGTGTTGCCCAGTTGCAGGCCAGAGGAAACGCATTAGAGTGCAGATGTCTTCCACCTTTGACCAGTCTGTTTTTCAACATTGTACTATTTTGACACCTGAAAATAACACAGAAGTCCATTACTTTGCTACGGGGTCCATTCTTTAGTTAGTTCTTGCCTATGGATGTTCACTTTGGATTATTTGCTTACTTTGCCTGTATAATAAACCAGGTTGGGGGAAGATCCATCCCACATTGGGCTGCTGGGGGCGAGGTGTATGTGTGTGTGTCAAGGGAGCAGATAATCAAAAACCAACCCAGCAATGTCCTCTGGTTTGAGAGATGCAGCAGTCAGCCCACCCAATTTGGGGCAGAAGGAAGGAAGAAGTCAAGGCTGCTGAAAACACCCTAGAACAGCGTTTCTGTGTCTTTCTATTTCTGTAGGATCTTAAGAAGAATGTCTTAAGTGGTGAAATAGTACATTATTTCCATGGTTGTTAAGATGTGACTTAGGTTCCACATTTTGACAATTCCTGCTTTTTGCTAGTGCTGTGATTCCTCACCTGTCAAATAAGCTGGGAGCTTCTGTAGACCTTTGACCACAGTCTACATACAGAAAACTGCAGCAAAGGCATGTTTGTCTAAAATTGGAAAAGGAAATCTTATGAATTGCACTATGAACATTCTTCATTTTCCCCACATTATTGGAGAGAATAGTACAGTCTTCCCAAAAACCTTATTTCACAAGAATAGAATTAACACTAATGGCAAGGAGGGCTTTTCCTGTTGATAGAATACCATCATTGGGAATTCTAAGAAAGATCATTATTGTCCTGTCAGTTGGATTACAATATTTTCCCTAAGCCTCCCTGCTTTTTAGATGACATATATTGCTTTTCCAATTGTAGTGTTTTTTATTTCATAAAGTTGCTAATTTGCTTTTGTTTGACAGTGTTTTATGTTTTAAAAGGAGTTACTCTTTATTAATTAAACAGTAACTAAATCTAAACAATACTACTATGAAAACTAGATTGACTGACAAAGTCTCTCAAAATTTCTTCTAGTTCAAAAATACCACACTATAAATGGGCACAACTGTGAAGTGAAGAAAGCTCTCTCCAAGCAAGAAATGCAGACAGCCACTGCTCAGAGAAGTAAGTTTTTTACATGACCGTACAGCATACAGAATGGTAAAAGGAGACATTCCAGTCAATTTTTCTTTGTTGTTTATTTTTAGACCGTGGGAGCAGCTCAAGCAACTTTGTGGGTCGTGGAAATTTTGGAGGTAGTAGTGGAAGCTATGGCAGAGGTGGAGGATTTGGAAGCAGAGGTAGGCGTTTTTCTTCTCTTCCTCATTGCAGAATATTTCTTTAAATTTCTATATTTTGTATTTTAATGCTTTTATTCTGATTTAGGAGGGTATGGTGGTGGAAGTGGTGGCGGTGGTGGTAGCAGAGGAAGTTTCGGTAGCGGGGATGGATACAACGGCTTTGGTGATGGTAAGTACAGCTGATAATATCACTTAGATGCAAAAAGCTCTGTGGTTACATACTAAGTATAAATTGTTCTTCGCAATTCTGTCATGTTAATATGAGGAGACAATCTATAGACAATTTCATCGGTGAGGGATTGGACTCAGGTGAAAATATTCCTTATTCCAGTTGAATCAGTAATTTTGTTAAAATTATTAAAGGATAACTAATTTAGCCTAATGTTTTTGAGTCCTTGTTTCCAGCAGTACAACTTACTCATGAGATGTCCTGGCTTATTTAAGGTGATTTTCCACCAAAGCCTCATTAAAAGCTATTAACTTTGGGGAAAGTTATGGAAGTGTTTGGAACTTGGTGATGATTTAGGGTGAACTGACTAAAGTAGCTTCTCGACCTGCTTCTGCCAGCAGAAAAGTCTGCAAATGTATTTGGTCACATGAAATAGTAAATGAATTATGTAAAATCAAACTGAACTCTGCCCGTCTTAAATATAATACTTGCACTTAATCAGATGATGTATTTTCTGACTAAGAATAAACACTTAATAATTTTATTTTATTGTAATTTGTTGTTTGGGCTTGGCCTTATGTAAGCCGCCCCGAATCCCCGTTGGGGAAGATGGTGGCGGGGTATAAATAAAGTTTATTATTATTATTAATAATGCAAATGAAGTGATCTGTTCAAATGTGACTATATGACACAGTGACTTCTAGAAGCTTTATGTCAAGATAATTATTTTTTGCAGCCCTCCAGATGTTTTGGTTTAGCCAGCATGATCAGAAGGGCAAAACATTGGGCTTGATTGGTAGTCATGATGTTGTAAAATGTCTTACTTATGCTATTCAGTCTTGAAAGCTGTATCTAGAAATCACATATGTTGTGTATGCTTCAGTTCCTTTAGTTTTGCCACAAATACAGTGTTTTTCATGATGACATTTTTAATTGTATTTCAAGGTGGAAGCTATGGAGGTAGTCCTGGATATGGTGGGAGCAGAGGAGGTTATGGTGGCAGCCCAACCTATGGAAACCCAGGTGGTGGATATGGTGGAGGAGGTGGAGGCTATGATGGTTACAACGAAGGAGGAAACTTTGGTGGTAAGAATCCTCAATCAACTGTAACTTTTGTCTGTGTTTCTTATAATAGATAAAAAAGACAAGTTACCTTCCTTTTGGAAAAATTGTGCACATCTAATTAAGAATGTTTTATAAAGTAAACCTAGGTTGAGACTAGACTCGTTAAGTTGAATTGTTTTAGGTAATGGAAGCTTTGGATATTTTTTCCCTCTTGGGGAGATCTATAAAACAAAAAGCTGTCACTGTAATAGGCTTACAAAATAATGTGTTTCAAAAAAAAAAAATTAAAAATCAAATTAGGAAAGTAATACAGTTTACTACCCAGGTAGTGTTTTTGTCTAATTAACACTTTGATTAGTATATTTGCAGACATTTAACTTAACAAACGTTTTCCCATTTCTGATTGAACTACCCTTCTGGATAATTATCTATAAGGAGAATTCAGTGATGGCTTTTTCTTTCTTGGAAGGGTCACATGTGTTTGTTTATAGCAGGGATGAACAGCTGTCAGTTTGGGAGGCTCAACCTCTATTGACCTAAAATACTTCTTAGTGCTCCATGGGGCAAATATGCTATGTTCCTGTGGGGAAGAGCTGCTTTAGGGGGGAGACCTTCTTTCCATAGAGTATAAGGGGTTACTTGGAAGGCCTGGGGTGCCTGAAAGCATAGCAACAGGCCAAACAGGACATTTGGGGACAACAAAAATGGGGAGACCTGGGTATCCCAAGCAAACGATTGTGGCACTTTAAAAATTAAGAAAAGTCGTAGTATGCTCACTCTTTTTCCAATACTTGGAATTGCTGGACGGGGAAAAAGTTTGTGTGCAAGCACTGCAACATCTAATTGAAGCCATGACCATTTCTTTGTTACTTGATAATTGCTTAATGTGCTTACTCTAAATCAAGCATCCTCGAACTGCAGCCCTCCAGCTGTTTGGGCCTTCAACTCTCAGAATTCCTGACAATTGAACAAGCCGGTTAGGATTTCTAGGAATTGCAGGCCCAAAGAGCTGGAGGGGCCACAGTTTGAGGATGCCTAATCTAAATAAAGTGTAGTACATTTGAAGCCTTGTGAAATCATGTTTGATCCAAGTGATAAAAATTAAATTCTCTTCTTAGGCAACTATGGTGGCAGTGGAAGCTATAATGACTTTGGCAATTACAGTGGACAGCAAACTTCAAGTTATGGGCCCATGAAAGGAGGTGGCAGTTTCAGTGGCCGAAGCTCTGGCAGTCCCTATGGTGGTAAATAGAACATTAAAATATGCATCTGGCTAAGACTTCTGAGGAGCAATTACTTCAACATCCAAAATTCTGTTTATAGGTGGCTATGGTTCTGGAGGAGGAGGAGGCGGCGGCGGAGGAAGTGGTGGCTATGGTGGAAGAAGGTTCTAAAAATCCTACCAGAATCAGGGTAGGTATGCTACAAACAAGTGTTGTATGTGAAGACTGTAGCATTTCATTGAGAGTAATCCTTTTCTTATCCTATATTCAACAGGCTACAGTTCTTAGCAGGAGAAAGCGAGGAGTTGTCAGGAAAGCTGCAGGTTACTTTGAGACAGTCGTCCCAAATGAATTAGAGGAACTGTAAAATCTGCCACAGAAGGAGCGATGAACCATAGTCAGAAAAAAATACTGCAGCTTAAACAGGAAACCCTTCTTAAGGACTGTCATAGCCACAGTTTGCAAAGAGTGCAGCTATTGATTTAATGCAATGTAGTGTTTAGATGTACATTCCTGACTCTCTTTTTTTAATTTGTTGTTGTAGCTTTGTCTTTTCTTCATAAATCAGGTATATTGCCCTGTAAATTTGTGGTAGTGGTACCAAGAATTAAAAATAATTGAGGAACTTTTAATTTTTTCAATACTTGTGTAGTTCAGTTTTTTCTTACTGAAACTTCTTTAAATAAAGAAATGTAGTTTTAGGGTATATTCTTGCTAGGAGGAAAATCAGTGCATTATAATCTGTATTAATTTAAACTATAGAAATGCTGAATCGTTTAAGAACCTTAGTTTTTCTGCATATGTAGCCAAATGAAATGAGTTGCACACGCAAAGGGAGAGAAGAGATGTTTGCATTAAAGCTTGCTTAGCTGTATAATTAGGACTGAGTCGTTTAAACTAGTGCTTGTGAATGGTAAACTTTACTTTAAAATGAAAATTCCAGATACTTCTGGTTTGTGGATATCTTAATTTGTAGCCTTTTGTTTCTTAGTTTAAGTAAATAAGCATTGAAAGATCTTTTAAAGTTTTATTCAGTTTGCTTCCCATTTCATTGATATGTGCAGGAGATCCATTAAGCACCGGCAGAACATGTTTCTGCCTTTTTACTATGCTTGAGATTCCCCCACCTCCCATGGTAAACAGATTTCAGTTCACAGATATAATTGAATTAAAACTTTGAAGCCAATAGTCTGGGTCTGTTACTTAGTTTATAACTGTATAGCTTCATTTGTATATACCTTTTGCCCCAAAACATGGATTTGTTGTGATGTAACCCTTTTGTTGTGTGTAATTTTGTGTGCCCTCTTCAACTGACTCAGACTCACAGTATGGACTCATTCCTTCTGTGGGGTATTGATTTTCTGACTTCAAGTGAAGTTTCACACACTTTCTAATGCCCCAGCTATAGGCCTTGAAGGTGATGTGAAAGCAAACAAGTTCCCAGTCTAGTTGCAGGGAATATATGGTCTAATATATTTATGACTCATGTGAGTCCTTTGGCTTGAAACAAGTCACTACTTTTAAGCATCGGAATGATATGATCAAATCTTTATTACATTCATAATGGTTCGTGTGGTTTACTCCTTCACCTAACACAAATTTGTGTATAGCCGTGTTCCCTAATAATTTGCTATCCTTATCAATCTGACCAGACTTCTCTTTTAACTATTGCCAGAACAGTGCTTTCTGTCAGTACACATCCAGAAGAGTAGGGCACAGTGAGTAGAAGAAAAATACTTGCCAGTATGATGCTGGAATTTCTCACCTGTTAACTACTTCTCTAGGCTAAAGGAAACAGTATAAGGTAAACGTGATTCCAGTATAGGAATGGATTGTCAGCTTTAAGAAAAATGTTGCTCGAACATGGCACATAATCATAGTTGTTGGGTATAGAATATGGTTGTTAAACCTCAAGCAAAGCAATGTGCTAAACAAGCTCAAGAGCACTGGTACACCCCTGACACTCCATAGTATCTATATTACTCTGGGGCATAGGTGTTTGGCCTCCCACCATGTCCTTTCTATTTTTAGGAAACTCCCCATGCTACAGTAAACAGAGAAATGTGAAGGCTTGGTGGTATTACATGGAATCTTGAGATTATGAAACTGTACATTTCTTTGTTCAAAAATGGATTAAATCTAATTCCAGGGTGGGTACATTTTGAGTCTCCAAATGGTGCCAGTGCAAATGCCATCAGTGCTAACAGGAAATGGGGCCTGACAGCGTTTGAAAGGCCTTAGGATGCCGAACTACGATCTAAACCAGAGGTGTTAAACTTGTGGCCCTCCAGGTGCTTGGGCTCACCCAAGTCCCAGAAGCCCTAGCATGCTTTTCCAGTGGTCAGGAATTCTTGGACCTGAAGTCCAAAACACATCTGGACGGCTACGTGTTTGAAACCTGATGTAAACCATCCCTTCTAGAAGTGGTTTTTATTGCAGGGGCAGAATTGGAGGCTGGGTTGAGGTACTTGTTCTGTTCTTAACGGAGGGGGAATTTTAATGTTACAGGGGAAACGCTTCTTTAGTGTATTAATCTGTTTTGCAGTTTTTACAAGTTATCAGTTTTTGGTGCCAGTGATTTAGCTCTAGTTCTCTGAATTTGGTGAAGTGCAAGCCAAGGACAGTGATTAACCAGCTTTAAAGACTCTAGGATGTATCTCTTAGCCAAAGTGTGGATCAAAGGAAACTCAGACAGGACTTCAGCAGCCTGTTGTGTATGTGGACCAGTCAGCATAATTAAAGAAAAACGAGGCAGCGACAGCACCAGCTTCAACTTCCAGAAAAAGTGAAGGCATAAAATACTATGCTGATAGTGAGCAGCTTTCCAAAAGCTAGTTAAATCTGCTGAAATATCGAAGAAAGTCTAGCAAGTCTTCACCATTTGGAACCTCCTTGAGGCATAGCTACTTGAGTTGACCAAAGTCATAGGTCTAGCGTTTAGACCTGAAAGGAAGGGGAATGAGAATAGGTAAGGTTTGTCTCGTAACACTTTTCATGAATTAAAGAATAACTATTTTTATGAACAAGATAATAAAAATTTAATTGATTTGCAGATTACTGAAGAAATCTGTTTGATCAGATACCAGATTTTTTTACCATTCGGAAAATTCTTGGCTCGGTAAGACTCAGTAATACAGTATATAAACATTGATGTTCCATGATAATATTCTGGGCTTTGAAAATCCATCTTCTGATAAGGAACAAATAATACAAATTTGCGGTGAGTGCCAGTATTTATTTTTACATTTTAAAGGTTTTTTTCTGAGTTAACTAATATTTGTATCTGGTTGGTTTATACCTCGAGTTATATGTAGTATATTTTATGATTCTGAAATAGTTTCATTTAATCCCATAACTTTTACGAGAACTATAGAAGGCATGTCAGCATGATTGATATATTGCAGATGAATGACTAAAGGAGTCATGACTTGACTGTTGGGTTTTTGGCTAAAATTGGATTTCTGTAGGCCATGTTTTTTGTCATGCTTTTGGGAAATATAAGAACTGATCATTTTTTATATATTTGTGACAAATAGTTTGTGACTAATATTCATTAACAAACATAGAAAGGAAAATGGCAATAAAACCAACCATTTGCTTATCTAGAACTGGTGCACCCTCCAAATCATTGGCTCTCTTTCAGGTATCAAATAGATAAAAGAACATCCTGTTGGGTATTTTCCCTTCAATTGTTCCTTTAGTCCGGAAGATTAAATACACTGGTGAGTATTTAGAAATTTGTTTTGCTTTATATGTACTAGGCCTGCATGTCACTGAAGGTACAATCATGATCCCAACTCTTCTGTATTTTGAAGTCATGCTGCCCATACCATCACATTCTCACTTTTATTTCAGCCATTAACTTTGACAGTGGAAACAGTATTATGGACTTGTCCTTTCTTACAAGCTTAGATCATATTGTCACCTGTTGTACAAATGTTTTAAATAATGGAGCAAAATCTGAACCAGTAATTCGTGTAAAACCACTGTACTAGAATATGTTCTTCAGCTTATTACTTATTTAAGACATTTATTAATGTGAGTCCCTATGATTACTTTCCCTCTTCTAAAACAGGATAAGGTCGAGTTTGGCTGTGAATCTCAGCACCCCCTAAAAGAAGATAGTAAAGGGGTGAGTGCATGTACATTTATTTCTTCCTATCTGCCCAGGTTTCAGAGGTTTGCTAATACTCCACAGATCCAAAAGGAAGGCCTTGGCTTTAGCCACTTACACATTTCTTGGGTGGGTAGAGGCAACAAGGGAGGGAGAGAAGAGTGGTCCGTTATCAGAATAGTCAATGTGTACCTAAGTAAATATTGGCAAGTCTGGCTTGTTCCATTCATAATGTGCTAATTTTTATTTATTTTATTCAGCTCTACAGGTTGACTAATCCTGTCTATACCAGCGTGACCATGTCTTTTCAGCACGCTAAAATAAGATGCAGAATTTGCACTATAATATACAAGAAAATTGGAGAGACCATTAACATCAAAAAATTACTGAAGTTGTAATCTCATTTTTTTTAAAAAAAAATATCTAGAATAAAGTTTTACTGTGACAGTTGGCAAGTCTTCTAATTGCATGTGGGTGTTTGGTCTTCATTTCTGCGTCATTGAGCAGCTTGCTTGAATTCTGCTTCTGCAACATTACATTTGAGAATTTTGAGGGAATATTGGGTTGGCATTTTTCCCTTAGTTGTACAAAACCCTCTGTTACGCTGTAGCAGATTTTATTTTCATTGTCTCTAAATTGTAAATCATCTTCAGCCTTGGGAAGAGCAGTGATTTCCTGGCTAAAACTGAAAAAAAATATGTCTTCATATAAACATGCAGTTCAAATCCTGGAAAGTTGCAGGGATCTATTCAGCTAGCTCCTGATGGAATATCCTAGGTGGGGGATAGTGAGGAATTACAGGTGTTGCAGTCCGTCACTTCTGCAGGTTTGTACTTTGCTTCCTATTAAAACTTCTATTTTAGTAGAGATATGATTCCCAAGACATACGATGGCAATTTTAATTAAGCAGAAAATAGAAATGTGACAGACATGACTACAATCGTAACTGCCAAGTATTTAGTCTTTTAAATATATGGTGAAAAGAAGAAAAGTGGTGAAGCTGATGAAAGGCAGAGTTAGTGAAAGAAGAACTACCTGGTAGAAGCTTTGTGTAAAGATGGAAGAGGAAGAGGAACCTTAGTCTTTTGTGTGTGTGTGTGTGTGTGTGTGTGTCAGGAGCGACCTGAGAAACTGCAAGTCGCTTCTGGTGTGAGCGAATTGGCCGTCTGCAAGGGCATTACCCAGGGGATGCCCGGATGCTTGATGTTTTACCATCCTTGTGGGAGGCTTCTCTCATGTCCCCGCATGGGAAGCTGGAGCTGACAAAGGGAACTCAACCAGCTCTCCCCAGATTTGAACAGCAGTCCTGCCCGCACAAGGACTTAACCCACTGCGCCACCAGGGGCTAGAAGGAGTATTTACTGAAATACTTACTTTAGCCTGTTGTCTTCTTTACACTAAAATTAATGGGTACAATTGATGGGGCCTCCATACATAGATCCATCATTGTGCAGTGGCTTGAGTTGGTTTCTGCTCACTAGGGTTTGAATCTCTGCTTGGTCGTGGAAACCTATTAAGTGACTTTAGGGAAGCCACACTCCGATTCAGTAGAAGAAAAGCTACTGAAGAAATGACTTGAAGGCACACAGCAACCTCCTTGCAGTATCCTTTATGGAGTAGGATTCTGGATGGCATGGAGTAGACTTCCACAGATGCAGTTTCATTCTCATCGTCTAAAGTTGCATATGGCAAATTTCTATGTTAAGTACCTGGTAAAAGCCCTCCGCTCCCGCCAAGGAACTTGCCTCTTTCTGTTCCTTTATTACAGGAATGAAGCACACATGGTCTTTAAGGTGTTATTAGACTACAGCTCTTGATGAGGGGCCAGAGTTTTCTGAATTCCTCATAAGGAAGCTGCTGTGAAGTAGATAGAATGCACAGTTGGCATGCAGTAGAAGCCAAGCAACCATCCTGAAGGTTTTTAGAAAAGCAAATTTAAAGGCACAGGAGGAATTGGGCCCAATTATCTCAGAGGCATAACTTACCAATAATAGTAATTTTATTATTTCATATCAAAAGCACTGCATAAATTAGTATAAAACTGATAAAATAGAAGGTGTGCAGGCAGCTAAATATCTTTTGACCAAAAACAGGCAACAGCAATGGCATTGTCTGTTGCCTCCAACAATTCCTCCTCTGTACATGAAGCAGGGCACAATGGACAAGCATACAAATGCAGAGTTTGTTCTGCTCCACAGTCACACAAGGTATGGGATTCTTTTAGGTAATGCCATTTTGCCAGGTTGTCTTTTGATCTGCCCACTCCGCTTCTGAGTCTATTCAGGGACTTCCAGGCAGCCGGGGGGGGGGGGGGGGGGGGGGGGGGGGGGAGGATGCCAGCTAGCTTGTAGAGTTTATCAACAGGTGTAGGTTTAAGACACCCTGCGATTATTCTGCATGTTTCATTCAATGCTATGTTCACCTGCTTTGATGGGCAGACTTATGCCACAAAGGGCAGGCATACTCCGCAGTTGAGTAAGACAAGGCTAGGGCTGATGTTCTTATTAATTTTGGGTCTGCACCCCATGTGCTGTCACTAAGTTTTCGCAGGATGTCATTGCGTGCAGCTACTTTGTGCTTGGTGTTCAAGCAGTGTTTCCTATATACTAGTGTTCAATCTAAAGTGACACCGAGATATTTAGGTTCAAGTTCTTGCCAGTGTTCAAGTTCTTGACCTTCCCAGGTGACTTTCAATTTCCTGTTGGCTTCACGGCTGCATAGATTGAAAGCACATACTTGTGTTTTGGAGGGGTTAGGCTTCAGCTGGAGTAGCTGGAGAGAGCTTTCAAGGCATTAGTAAGTTGGATTTCAGCTGTTTCAAAGTCTTGCTTGTGTTGTTAGGCCAAGGTCATCAGCATATATAAAACTCTTTGTGAGTGGTGGTTGTGGCTGATGGTTTGTAAAGATATTAAACGAGGTTGGTGCAAGAAAGCTGCCTTGGGGTAAACCATTCTTTTGCCTCCATCTACTTTTCCTGCCCTAAAACGCCACATAGAAGCTAGTTTTCTAGGAGAGTGTAACGGGGCCACCAATTTGTAAAGAAGGCACCCGTTTGTAACTGTTTGTAAAGGAGCCACCACTTTATAAGGACTTACTAAATTGATAACACAACTAATGGCTTGTAATATTGAATTGGTCTTACTTCAATGTGTAGCATGGCTTAACTTGAAAGTATTTGTAACAGAGACTTGGCTTTAGAAGAAACTACCAAGTTTATTGAAGTATAGAAGAAACTTGATGGTTTCAATGTTTCTTAACTCTTAGAGGCACATATCTTCAGTGGTTACATTTATAACAATTCATAAAACAACTCTTAAGAGAACTATTCCTTTTACTAAACAGGTTTTGAACTTATTTTCCTTCAAAATGTGTTTCTTTCCTTAACCAATTATTTCAGGTACAAGCTTGTTCTTTCCTTGTGTTATTTCTTTTGCAGTAAAGATTCTTACTAGGGTTCTCTCACTCTTTCTACTCATACACTACTATCCTAAATAAGTCAACTTGACCTATCTAAACTTCACAGGTTAAAAGCCTAAACCCTCCTGATTCTCAACACCGTAGAATCAGCCTTTCGCTGTAGTTCTTAGACTACAGACTACCTTTCTGGTTCTCAACACACAACAGAACCAGCCTTCCCTGTAGTTCGCTGACTACAGGCTAACTGTTTTAAAATGGCTGCCCTGCCAAGTGGCAGTTGGCTCCGCCCCTTTTTCCATGGCAACCCAGCTCAAAGTGAGGTAAGCTGGCTACCATCCCCCCAGTTATGCTAGTTTAAATACTTGCCCTTTTAAACACCTATCTATAATTATACATAACTGTACATTAAAACTCCCACTTCACCACAGAGTCTGGATAGTTTTTGTGAAATCATAGTCTCGGGTAATATGGTAGACTTTCTGTAGCATTTTCCTATGTTGCACCATGTCATAGGCTGCTGTAAGGTCAACAGAAATGTAATGTTTTTCCTTTATTTTCAAGATGAGTACACACATTGAGAACAAGACTACATTGAAACATTGTGTATTTCAGTCCTAGATTTGTATTAAAATGCCAGCTGGGTATATAACAACTTTCCAGAAACAAATTGTAAAACATCTTTGTGGCAGAAGCACATACATTATCCTGGAATGCCCGGAAGCAGAAGGGCCGGGAATAGAGATCTAGCAATGATTTCCTTGGTCCGTGTGTCTTTTCAACCGTTACTATGGCCAGTAGCTGTTGCTTTACCTCTCCTCTCACCACGCAAAAAATGACTCCTCTCCCAGACACAAACTCTTTAATGGTGAAGTTCTTTCCCTGTCTTTTTTTTTAAGCTCTCCTGCTTTCCCCTTTCTTAGTTTTTTTTATTGGGCCATTACTTTCTCAGGTATCTTTCCTTTGCATTTAGAAACCCTACTCGTTAACTTCAGATTTTCCTGTGGTGTCTTGCAAAGCTACTGTGGACATATTCCTGCTGGTGACTTAACAGCAGCATATGCATTTTGTTGGCTGTTACACAAAAAGGCATTTATGTAAACATCAGGATTGCTACTGGCCAGTAGGAATACACAGCACTGGGATTACTTACGCATTTCAAGACATTTTTGTAACCAAATATTCTAATGAAACTCTGTTAAGACCATACATGCTTTATTTCAAAAGTACAAAATCTAAAGATCAGCATTCCTTAGTGCATACTTTTGTATGCAGAACAGACTTGAAGGACCCAGTCAAGCTCAAACTTCAACATCTTGAAGTCTCATTCATTTCAATGAACTCTGCTTGTGTTTTAACACAGCCACAGAAGGTCTTAAGCCTTCAAAAATGCTTGGCTTTGATAAGATTGTACTTTAATGGTGTCACTTTATGTGTGTTTACACTACATTCAAGCTCTTATAATAAAGTAAAGAAGTTTTTAAAAATTGGTAAGAAACAGCACACATTTCATTTATGTTTAAAAAATAATGTATCTGAAAGCATACGATTAGTCTTGGTAGTAAGGAAGGTCACCAGTCTTAAATCATGCTTGATACACATTTGAGTAAAATAAACTATAGGAACAGAATATAAATAATTTGGAAATATTTACAGTAGAAAAGAAACGAGTCTCTGCTGCCATTACAAAAGTAGGAACTAGTGTCTTACAGAAGAATTATCAATTGTGCATATATTTGTTGTAATGATAACGATTTAAAGTGTTTTCATATACTTAACTCTAAAGGAAAGAGCTATATAAAGTCACTTAAAAGCAGGACAAACTCTGCATCATAGGAAGCCCCACAGTAGAAAAAAGAAATGTAAAAATAATAGGTTGTTTGCCTCCTTGCTTTTCACACTTTAGTCCCTGGTTTCTTGGTCTTTGGAACAAGGAAGATACCACCATCTCTTGTTTGCTGTAATGAGTATTCGTTAAGTGAGTAAGGCTTTCCATTTTCATCTCGGAGCATGCCGAAGACCTCAAGGTATAGTGTGCTTAGCTGCTTTT